TAACTAAAGGGATTAAATACATGGAGTGGAGTAGAAGTACACAGTCTACCTCTGAACTGTAGTGGAGTAGAAAGCAACAAATGGAAATACTCAAGTAAAGTACAAGTACCTCGACATTGGTATTGAAGCACAGTTCTTGAGTAAATGCAACTCTACTGACCTTTAAAGTACATTTTTATGCCAAGCGGTGATATATTCTGTGACATTTCAAGGCATGTGAGTAATTGTTTAGTCATTCAGTCCAACATTTGTCTAAAAGGGTAAAAAGGAACATAAATGGCCCCTTGTGTCTGCTGATGGTAAATTGCTCCGGGTAAACAATTAAATTAATCGTTACTGTACCTCTTTAAATGTTTTAAAGTCCAATATGTTATTTCTCCAGCTTGCACAGTGGCACTAATCACTGCAAACCTCCAGATAACATTTGTTTATATGATACATATTGTTCATAAATAGCTTTCAAACAACATGTAATTGGTCTCTAATATTGCAATCAGTATATTTGTGCTCCATAATTACCGTGCATGTCATTATGCCTATTATTCAGTCTGTGGCCCAGATTTAGCCGCGGCACTAATAGACACATCCTTTGTGCCAATCATAGAATCCATCTCATTCACATTCAAATGTATGCGCTCATCATTATTCACAATGTTGTATTTTATGTATGTTATGGCATTTTCTTTACACAGAGTTTTCCTGGGACACTGCGTGCATATTTAACAGTTGAGAAATGTCAAAAATATGTGTTATTCAGCGGCTGCAACACCGTTAAAGCGTGCACAAAGAGCTCGAGGCATTAATCAGGCTGAATGTACTGCTCCTTACACTCGATGTGACTCGTGCTCAATTTGAACAATTTCTCTGACTAAGTGACGACAGATTGCAAAGTCTCACTGAAGCGAGGACAAAAGGTCGCGTTGGGAAATCTGTATCGAAGCCAATCCTATCAGTTTCTGTTTCGTGATGCTGTGAAGTGTCTGTGTGTATCTCAATATCCATTGTGATGCAGCTTCTCCACGAGATAAATACATCTAATGTGAAAGGTCAAATTCAGTTCACTCTTATCGCTGTATTTTCACTGTATCGTTGACTTTATTGGATGTTTTCAAATGTACGAATAAAAAGGACAACTTCTGCGAGAGAAAACTGCCCGTAAAGTTTTGAACTCATTAAAATGTGTCAGTCGATCCCCTGCGGTTGCATATCAGGGTAAGAACATTTGAACCAGAAATATCCACATGAGCATTTCTCCAGAGTCAAAGCGGGGGGGAATCAGCCGAGCTTCTCAGTGGGAAGGCTCAGCATCACCGCTTATCTAAATGTCAGATGGCGGGAAATTAACGCATCACCCTTTATCTTGAGAAGACCAGCGGTGTGGAATAAAAGACAGGATTACACGGCATGAACATTTTAAATCCGTAACAATCCCTACTGAGAGATTATCTTTGAATCTCATATGTGTCACAAATCTGCATGACGTCTCTAATTACATGGATGCTTATCTGTCCCTTTGTCTCTGCCTGAACCAAAGCCACATTATCCTCTTTTTCTATTGTAAGTTGACAATAATAATGCTTTATTTATATAGCACTTTTCATACAACACCAGCAGGAGAGGACTCTTTAAAGTATTTATTTATTTAGTGTCTCTACTTTAAAGAGTCCTCTCCTGCTGATGTTCAGGTGTATATCAGTATGTAGTGTCTCTACTTTAAAGAGTCCTCTCCTGCTGATGTTCAGGTGTATATCAGTATGTAGTGTCTCTACTTTAAAGAGTCCTCTCCTGCTGATGTTCAGATGTATATCAGTATGTAGTGTCTCTACTTTAAAGAGTCCTCTCCTGCTGATGTTCAGGTGTATATCAGTATGTAGTGTCTCTACTTTAAAGAGTCCTCTCCTGCTGATGTTCAGGTGTATATCAGTATGTAGTGTCTCTACTTTAAAGAGTCCTCTCCTGCTGATGTTCAGGTGTATATCAGTATGTAGTGTCTCTACTTTAAAGAGTCCTCTCCTGCTGATGTTCAGGTGTATATCAGTATGTAGTGTCTCTACTTTAAAGAGTCCTCTCCTGCTGATGTTCAGGTGTATATCAGTATGTAGTGTCTCTACTTTAAAGAGTCCTCTCCTGCTGATGTTCAGGTGTATATCAGTATGTAGTGTCTCTACTTTAAAGAGTCCTCTCCTGCTGATGTTCAGGTGTATATCAGTATGTAGTGTCTCTACTTTAAAGAGTCCTCTCCTGCTGATGTTCAGGTGTATATCAGTATGTAGTGTCTCTACTTTAAAGAGTCCTCTCCTGTTGATGTTC